GGCATAACACGAGCTCCCGGGGCGAGAGTAGGGGATGGGGGGGGGGATTTACCAGGAGAAAAAGGAGGGCCCAGGCCACACTCTAGGATGTCTCTGATGCTCTGGTATTTGGGGGGGGGGGAGGAACTGTATGGTAAAAAGAAATTGCAAGTAGATAAATAGGTACCAGTTCGGTGGGAAGGTAACAACGTTCCGTGCGCCTTCGCATCTAGTCATGCTGGCCACATGACCACGGAAACGTATTTGGACAGCGCTGGCTCTTCAGCTTGGAAATGGAGATGAGCACCGCATCCCTAGAGTCGGATTCAACTGGCTTTTAAGCAAGGGAAACCTTTACCTATAGATAGGAACTCTCAGTCTGGGACAAGTGATGCACAGTATTCTTGGTGCTTGGGGGGGCCAACAGTGGGAGGGCTTCTAGTGTCCTGGCCCCACTGCTGGACCTCCTGATGGCACCTGGTATTTTTGGCCACTGTGTGACGGAGTGTCGGACTGGATGGGCCATTGGCCTGATCCAGCATTGGTTTCTCTTATGTTCTTATGTCTGGGGCAAGGGATGCTTTGTATTCTTGGTGCTTGGGGTGGGGGGCAACAGTGGGAGGGCTTCTAGTGTCCTGGCCCCACTGCTGGACCTCCTGATGGCACCTGGTATTTTTGGCCACTGTGTGACGGAGTGTCGGACCACATGGGCCATTTGGCCTGATCCAACCTTGGCTTCTCTTGTGTTCTTAAGCCCTCTCCCACTCTACATTAATGTCCTGGACACATGTGATGTGTACAAGACTTACAATGGGTAATGTTGCCGACCTCTAGGCTAGGCCTGGAGATCTCCCACAATTACAATTGATCCCCAGACGACAGAGATCAGGTCCCCTGGAGAAAAAGACTGTTCTGAACTCTATAGCATTATACCCCGCTGAGGGCCCTAACCTGGAATTGGCAACCCTGTGCGTCAAGTGGCTGCTCGGCTTCCTTTTGCATTCTCTTTATATTTGTAATGGATTTAGAATTTTGTTCTTTTCGCCCTTTAATTCCCCCCCCCCTTTTGCACCGCAGTAACAGACTCTGCTTTTATTTTGTATTTATTTTTTTAATGGGTAGCCAGGATGAGGGCCACTTCATGCGCCTGGTCCACCCCAGACCGGCTTTTCGCCTCCGTCGCTAATTGGCAAGAGCCACGGGCAACTTCCAGATGCCCTCCGAATCAAGAAGTGCTTAGGGGAGAACCGAGAACAAACAACACCCTCAAGGCGCACTTCAAAGACATATTAATGTCCAAAGTTCTGCATGGAAGAGGCGAAGCAGGAAGAGTAGAGAAAGGCTTTTATCGAGGAGTGATTTAGAGCACTGTCAGACGAGCTGTTAGGTTGTCCGGTTGCCATGGGAACTGAAAGCCTTCAAACAATATTAGCGGTGACAGGTCTATTTAATAGCCCCGTCCCTGGGATCCTCTTCAAAACGCTGCCTAGTCCTCTTTGCTTTTATGTCCCAGCAGCTGCCTTGATGCAAGAAGGAGGGATTCAGAAAGGCCCAGCATCTGGGGTAATCATCGCCGCCTCCCAAATAATACTTTTCGTGGAGCCCTGATTTCCCCCTTTCCTTCCACCATTATGCCTTAAATCCACATAGGCCTTTCTTCAAAGGAAGAACTGAAGGATCCGCTGATTGCCCTGGGCTCCCTACATCGCATGAATAATAAAAAAAGAGAAAGGTATCATAGGAGAGCAACAATCCCCATTCCTGTCATCTAAAGGCCTTGTTATAGCTACATT